AGGAGATACCTTTAAAATAAATGCTTTGAAGAAAAAGTTTATCAAAAGAATGAGTGCTTAATCAATTAAACTCACACATTAACGTATTGTGGGTTTGCTAGAATACATGATGGTTGGTACAAACATGTCCCAAGCTGTATACTCAATAGTTTGTATCAAATACAAAGAAACTACGAACACTTATATTAGGGAGAAATAAAATATCTACCGATGCTTTTGCATGAGTCTTCCCCAAGTTTTCACTCTGTGGAGTCACCTCTAGAGTACTGAATCTTCAAGTCAATGGTCTTGGATTTACCCAAGTTAGATCTTGCTATATAACACTCCTCAGGAAAACTGAGGCACCTGCACAGTCAAGCATGGGGCTCAGTCAACACAAAACTCATGAATTTCCACTATGTGCCTAGCCTTGGTAATTAGCTAATTATTCTACGTTTTACTCTTAAAACGCCCAATTTTACACTTTCAAAAAAAAAAAAGAAAAAAGATTTCATAAAAGATATACAGATTTTAACATGATTTAAAAAAGAAAACAGCAAAAATTACCTGAGAGTAAATAAACAAAAAGTCTTCTCAGATTATATGCCTGAGCAGGATAAAATTTTGAGATAACATTTTCTGCGTATTGACATATCAGGGAGTACTTTATCTTCAAAATATCCTTAAGCTGATTTCAAATTCCTTTTGGAAGAAAGTATACCTTAGTCTACTTCACTAATAAACTACATCTCAGTATTCGAATACAGAATGGACAGTGATTTTCTTTAAATATGGACGGTATGAAGACAGTTGAGAAATTACAGGGCTAATCTCCCATAAGAATACAAGTTGCGTGAATTTTTAAGAATGTAACTTTTGCCACAGTTTTAGGACTAGATGTTCCAAATGCAATCCTTCAGATCCATGAGCCACGAAATAATGCTGGTATGGAAAATGAAGCTGATACTTTCCCCCTTAAATTTCTCCACGAATGGCTGCTTCTGAGCCTAAGCTGCAGGAACACGGCACCTCTATCAACTAAGGACATAAACACAAGGCTTAACTATCCAGATACTCAGGGCCACAACCTCAAACCCAGGCTTCTACAGGTTCAACACATCGACTTCAGTTATATAACGGGTGCTAATCCATGCAGTACCTAAAGTAAAAGGTCTAGCTAATGTTAAAAGCCTAGCTAAATCTTCTAAGAATATTGTTAGATTAAATATTATTTAAGAGGGCCATTCACAAGAGGAATATAGTCACAATGACCACCAGAATCTCCATTCTTCATAAGGAAAACTTGACTTGAAATTGACTTATAAGTGGATTGCCTTTTAAGAGATGTGAAAATGTGTTCCATATGTAGTACTACTCAACATACGTAGTGGATCATAATTGAAGTTCAGATATTTAGAATTTTCTAACCAACAACTGGGTTTTTTGTTGAGGAAAGAAGTATTTCCCAATCCTCTTCCTCATCAGGAAGGGCCGGAGGGAACACATCTAGCCTCTCCTAACTAGCCTTTAGTGACCCCTCTCCCAGAGAGAGGTGCTAACATGTCTGGACAGATAATGACCACCTTTGACAAGCGGTGACCATTTACAAGTGTCTCCAGTGCCACAAACAACTGGATCTGTGACAAAGGGTGCCCTGTCTCCACCCCACCCTCC